TTCCGAGGGCTCCTGGAAGGAGCTCAGGGTCCCCGGGCAAAGCGGGATCAGGGCATGATGGAGAGTAACGCCGAGGGCTCCGCGGGGGCTCAGCCTCCCCGCTTCCTGGACCTGGCCTCTCCCTGCTCCGGGGCGCCAGGCAGAGGGCCGAGCTGGGCGCCTCCGTACTGCGGTGTGAGCGGGTTCAGCGACTTCTCTGCTTGCCCCGGTCCCCTCCCGTGGGTGTTGGGAGCTCAGTAGGCCTCGGGGCCACGGTGACCTAGACAGGGTCCCCAATTCATTCAGCAAACAGTGACTGAGTGCCTCTGCCAGGCTAGTGTGTGCCTGAGCCGAGCACTGAGGAGGCAGACCTGGGCTCTCCTGCAAAGCTTTCCTGGGGAGACCGACGTGCCCTGGGTTCTGAGGAAGATGCTGGGAGGACTGACTCCTAGGCTACTCTGGAAAGGGCAGGAAGGGCTTCCTGGAGAAAGTGATGAATGGCGAGAGAGGAACACGGCCAGCACCGCGGGGGAGTTAGACCGAAAGGACAGTGGAGTTTCCCAGAGAGAACACCTGTGCGAATGCTCAGAGGTGTCCCTCAGCTCATCTAATGAAACTGAACCCAGCCGGATTTAGAATACCAAGGGTGGGAATGAGCAGGTGGCATGGTGCATAAAGTGCTGGACTCCCACATGGGCGAGTGTGGTTCAAATCCCAGGCCTGGTGGCTTACTTTCTCACTCTTCTCTCTTTCTCTCTCTCTCTCATTCTCTCTCTGGTCAAATTGAAGAAAAAGAAGAAGAAATAAAATAAAGTAAAATACTTTTTAAAAAGAATGCAAGGGATGGGAGTAGGAGACTGATGAAACAGGGTTCCTGAAATGTTTAGGGAGGAGTCTGAAGAAGAGAGCTTGATCCAGCTCAAGCAAGACCTTGAAAGCCCAGCCCAGGTTCATGGCCTGAGCTCAGGGCTCCAAGCCTGCCTGGGGGCAGTGGTGGGAAGCTGGGCTATGCTCATGCAAGCGCTGCTCCCCCCACTCCCCACCCCTGTTCCCCTTCCACCACAGTAGCCTCCAGAGTGTGGGGAGCCAAAAGGCCCTAAGAACATGAGCGCTTTCTCCTCGCCTGGGTACCCCTCGCCCTCCACCCCTTTCTCAACCAGGGGCAGGCCTTGGACTGACTGTCACTTGGGGTGGCCTTGCCTGAGCCATCTTGAGGTTAGGGAGCAGCACCAGCAATGGGGCTTCCTCTGAGTGGTGACTCTTATCCGGAAGGTTGATCCTGAATGTACTTCCGTGGCCTAGTTATTCAAATAGCTGTGTATATATTATTAGTATTTTCCTCTTTTCCCTAACTCTCTCTCTGACTTGTTACATGGCACATGCACTTGCAGGGGTTGGAAAGGAGACAAAGAATGAGAAAGCACGCTCAGGGGCGGTGGCCATGCTGCCCCTTTCCCTCTATTCTCCTTTTGGGGTTTTAGGCGTACACACACATGGGCCCAGTATGTTGTTTTTATTCCAAGCTGCCAGGTCCGGGACTTGAACCATTCAGTTGGCCATGTGAGATCCAGCTGCTTTCACCACCACTCCACCAGTCGGCCCCCTAAATGTATTTCTTTCAAGTTAAGCAGTCGCACAGAGCATCATCGAGTTCAGTCCTGAAAGTTTAGACACAAGTTTAGCCTGTCTGTTTTACAGATGAGAAAGCTGAGAGGCTTCCCAAAGTCATGTGACCTGGGACTGAACTGGGGCGAGGACATGGCTCCTGGCTTGGAGACATCACAGGGCAGGACCTGAGCAGTGACGTTTCCAGGGACTTGGTCCCATACCCTAGTGCACCCTCTGCTCCCGCCCCACCCCAGGAGAGGTTATCAGTGTGGCCCGCCCCTTCGGCCAGCCTATCTGGGCGCTGGAATGAATCCCTCCTGTCCTTTGTCTCTGAGGAACAGAACCAGAGTAGAAGTCATTGCCAGGTGGGCCTGGGGGCTCAGAAGTGTGGCTGGAGGGAGAGGATCCCAGCCCGGCTAGAGGGGGGTGGGGGCGGCGAAGGAGAGCCACGGAGGCTCTAGAGCCCAACATGCAGAGAAGTGGAATCCTGCATCTGGGCCTGTGGGGTGCCAGCCACCACTCACTGGGGAGGCAGAGGCTTTGTCCCGCACTGGGGGGCTGTGGGGGTCACTAAGCTGTCTCAGGTGCAGACCCTGACTCCGAGATGGCCCAGGAAGAGGCCCACTCCTTGCCATGTGCTTGGAGGAGAGAGTGCTGCTGAGTGAGTGGAGGGTATGGGGAGACACTGGTGGGCACAGGAGGAAGCCCTGTTAGCCATGTGAGCCGCAGGGCAGGAGAAGCCGGGCAGTGAGCGCCCAGCCCCGGCGACACTTTCAGTTTGGGTTTGCAGTTCGGTCTGTGCTTTTCTTTTAAAGTGACTTAAGGGTCTTTTTTTTTTTTTTTTGGGGGGGTTTTTGCTCCGGGCATTTGGGGTTC